GTCCATTTTTTGACCTGTTGCTCGATCAATCAATCAATCAATCAATCACTCCATCAACACTGCCGTGGTTGATTGGTTTGTTGATTGATCAGTTGGTTGATTGATTGATTGAGCCATTGGTTGGCTGGCTGGTTGATTGATCAGTTGGTTTGTTGATTGGTTCATTGATTAATCTGGTGGTTTGTTGATTGAGCCGTTGGTTGGCTGATTGGTTTACCAGTTGGTTGATTGGTTTGTTGATTGATTGATTGATTGATTGAGCCATTGGTTGGTTGGTTGGTTGGTTGGTGGGTTGAATGATCAGTTGGTTGATTGATTGATTGATTGAGGCATTGGTTGGTTGGTTGGTTGGTTGGTTGGTTGGTTGGTTGATTGAGCCATTGATTGTTTGGTTGATTGGTTTGTTGATTGATCAGTTGGCTGATTGATTGATTGATTGATTGATTGATTGAGCCATTGATTGGTTGGTTGGTTGGTTGGTTGATTGAGCCATTGGCTGGTTGGCTGGTTGGTTGATTGAGCCATTGGCTGGTTGGCTGCTTGATTGATCAGTTGGTTTGTTGGTTGGTTCATTGATTAATCTAGTGGTTTGTTGATTGAGCCGCTGGTTGACTGATTGGTTTACCGATTGGTTGATTGGTTTGTTGATTGATTGATTGATTGAGCCATTGGTTGGTTGGTTGGTTGGTTGATTGAGCCATTGATTGGTTGGTTGGTTTGTTGATTGATCAGTTGGTTCATTGATTGATTGATTGATTGAGCCATTGGTTGGTTGGCTGGTTGATTGATCAGTTGGTTTGTTGGTTGGTTCATTGATTGATCTGGTGGTTTGTTGATCGACCCGTTGGTTGGCTGATTGGTTTACCGGTTGGTTGATTGGTTTGTTGATTGATTGATTGATTGATTGATTGAGCCATTGGTTGGCTGGTTGGTTGAATGATCAGTTGGTTGATTGATTGATTGATTGATTGAGCCATTGGTTGGTTGGTTGGTTGATTGAGCCATTGATTGGTTGGTTGGTTGGTTTGTTGATTGATCAGTTGGTTCATTGATTGATTGATTGATTGAGCCATTGGTTGGCTGGCTGGTTGATTGATTGATCAGTTGGTTTGTTAGTTGGTTCATTGATTAATCTGGTGGTTTGTTGATTGAGCCATTGGTTGACTGATTGGTTTATTGGTTGGTTGATTGGTTTGTTGATTGATTGAGCCATTGGTTGGTTGGTTGGTTGGTTGGTTGATTGAGCTATTGATTGGTTGGTTGGTTGGTTGATTGATCAGTTGTTTCATTGATTGATTGAGCCATTGGCTGGTTGGCTGGTTGATTATCAGTTGGTTTGTTGATTGGTTCATTGATTAATCTGGTGGTTTGTTGATCGAGCCGTTGGTTGACTGATTGGTTTACCGGTTGGTTGATTGGTTTGTTGATTGATCAGTTGTTTCATTGATTGATTGAGCCATTGGCTGGTTGGCTGGTTGATTGATCAGTTGGTTTGTTGATTGGTTCATTGATTAATCTGGTGGTTTGTTGATTGATTGATTGAGCCATTGGTTCACTGGTTCATTGCTTTATTGGCCGCTCCATTTTTCAACCTGTTGCTCAATCAATCACCCAACCAACCAACCGATCAATCAACCAATCAATCGATCGATCCCTCACCCCCTCCTGTGTCCCGCAGTCGGAGGACCTGGGCGCGTNTGATTGATTGATTGATTGATTGATTGATTGATTGATTTGTTGGTTAACTGATTGGATTTTTGGTTGATTGGTTGGTTTCTTGTTTGATTGATTGGTTGATTGGCTTGTCAGATCAATTAATTGGTTGGTTGGTTGATTTGTTGGTTGGTGATTGATTGATTGATTTGTTGGTTAACTGATTGGTTTGTTGGTTGATTGGTTGATTGGTTGGTTTCTTGTTTGATTGATTGGTTGATTGGTTGATTGGTTGATTGGTTGATTGGTTGATTGGTTTGTCAGATCAATTAATTGGTTGGTTGGTTGATTGATCAGTTGGTTCATTGATTGATTGATTGATTGATTGATTTGTTGGTTGACTGATTGGTTTCTTGGTTGATTGGTTGATTGGTTGGTTTCTTGTTTGATTGATTGGTTGATTGGTTGATTGGTTTGTCAGATCAATTAATTGGTTGGTTGGTTGATTTGTTGGTTGGTGATTGATTGATTGAGTGATTTGATGGTTGACTGATTGGTTTGTTGGTTGATTGGTCGGTAGGTTGGTTGGTTGGTTGGTTGGTTGATTTGTTGGCTGGTTGATTAATTGATTGATTGATTTGTTGATTGGTTTGTCAGATCAATTAATTGGTTGGTTGCTTGGTTGGTTGGTTGATTGATTGATTCACTGATTGATTGGTTGATTGCTTTTTTGGATCAATTCATTGGTTGGTTGGTTTCTCTCTTCGTTTCTCCGCTTATCAGTTAGTTGACTGATCAGCTTGTTGGCTGATTTATTGGTTGATTGATTGATTGATTGATTGGTTTGTTGGTTGGTTGATTCGTTGAGTGATTGGTCAATTGCTTTGTCAGACCAATTCATTGGTTGCTTGGTTTCTCTGTTGGTTTCTCCACTTGTCAGTTGATCAATTGATCAGCTTGTTGGCTGATTTATTGGTTGGATGATTGATTGATGGATTGATTGGTTGATGGATTGATTGGTTGATTGATTTGTCAGACCAATTCATTGATTGGTTGGTTTCTGTTTTGGTTTCTCCACTTGTCAGTTAGTAGATTGATCAGCTTGTTTGCTGCTTTATTGGTTGGATGATTGATTTGCTGGCTGATTGATTGATTGGTTGGTTGATTGATTGATTCATTGATTGAGCTATTAGTTCATTGGTTCATTGGTTTATTGGCTGGTCCATTTTTTGACCTGTTGCTCGATCAATCAATCAATCAATCAATCACTCCATCAACACTGCCGTGGTTGATTGGTTTGTTGATTGATCAGTTGGTTGATTGATTGATTGATTGAGCCATTGGTTGGTTGGTTGGTTGGTTGATTGATCAATTGGTTCATTGATTGATTGATTGATTGAGCCATTGGTTGGTTGGTTGGTTGGTTGGTTGATTGAGCCATTGATTGTTTGGTTGATTGGTTTGTTGATTGATCAGTTGTTTCATTGATTGATTGAGCCGTTGGTTGGTTGGTTGGTTGGTTGATTGATCAGTTGGTTCATTGATTGATTGATTGATTGAGCCATTGGTTGGTTGGTTGGTTGGTTGATTGAGCCATTGATTGGTTGGTTGGTTGGTTGAATGATCAGTTGGTTGATTGATTGATTGATTGATTGAGCCATTGATTGGTTGGTTGGTTTGTTGATTGATCCGTTGTTTCATTGATTGATTGAGCCATTGGCTGGCTGGCTGGTTGATTGATCAGTTGGTTTGTTGGTTGGTTTGTTGATTGAGCCGTTGGTTGGCTGATTGATTTACCGGTTGGTTGATTGGTTTGTTGATTGATTGATTGAGCCATTGGTTGGTTGGTTGGTTGGTTGGTTGATTGAGCCATTGATTGTTTGGTTGATTGGTTTGTTGATTGATCAGTTGGCTGATTGAATGATTGATTGATTGATTGAGCCGTTGGTTGGTTGGTTGGTTGGTTGGTTGACTGAGCCATTGATTGGTTGGTTGGTTAGTTTGTTGATTGATCAGTTGTTTCATTGACTGATTGATTGATTGATTGAGCCATTGGCTGGTTGGCTGGTTGATTGATCAGTTGGTTTGTTGATTGGTTCATTGATTAATCTGGTAGTTTGTTGATCGAGCCGTTGGTTGACTGATTGGTTTACTGGTTGGTTGATTGGTTTGTTGATTGATTGATTGATTGATTGATTGATTGAGCCATTGGTTGGTTGGTTGGTTGGTTGGCTGGTTGGTTGAATGATCAGTTGGTTGATTGATTGATTG